GAAGTCCACTAAAACTCCCAGGTCATTTTCAGACAGAAACTATTAACTAGTCACATATTTTCCCCATATTTTTGTGAACACAAGCAAAATGTTTTCAATTTATCCTTTTTATATTTCATTTTAATAGATTTGATATTATAGTGTTTTAGCCTGTTGAGATCTTTTTGAATCCTGACTCTTGTCTAATGTACTGACTTTCCCCTCATCTCTTTCCTCTTCTTTTCCAAGTAGGATTGAGAACTCTGGAATGTGTCCAGTGAGGAAAGCCAAGGTGTCCTTGATTGCTATGATAAACCTCCCCTTTCTGCAACCAGAATGAACCATCCCTCAGCCCTCCCCTGTCCCAAGCTTCTTCCTGTTTGGCATCGGATTTTCTCTTATGTAAAAAATTGCACTCTAATGGCTTGCTTGCCAATCCTTTTATGTCCTTGAAAAGAAAGTAAGTTTGGGAAAATGACCATAGTGACCCATCTCCCCATAGGCCTTTTCTCTTGTGACCATGGCCTGAGTCATAATAAAGTAAACACAAAGTAAACACTTTCTCAGTCCAGAGAAGCAGAACAAATGCTATCCTTAGTTATTTGTTGTTTCTCTTTTTATTCTATTCTTCCTCCACTCAAGAGAAAGATGTTCATTTATACCTGATCCCTTTGAAACTCCTTGGTTGGACAGCCTTTGTCAAGAGCCCTAGGATCCAGGAAGTCAGTGCATTCAAGACGAAGATGACCCTTGTGATCTTGGCTAGGGCTAGGGAACCTGGGCGCTTCACTGTTCATTACGGGGCACCAAGCTTTCTGTCTGATATTCCAATACTGGTACTTTGGCTAGTCAGAGACCCTGATCTTATCTGAGTCTCACATCTCAATGGAGAAATATGCAGTGATTGAGGCTTGCCAGGTAGGGTAGAGATGCCTAACCTGCTTTATCTGTCAGGAAAGGCAGACCCCTGAATCTACCCTTTCAACCTTCTGCATGCCAGGACCCCTCAAGACAGGAGCAGCAGTGTGGCGTGGCAGAAAGAGCAGTGGAAGTCAGAAAGCCTGGGTTCAAGTTCTGGCTCCAGTACTTACTAGTAATTTGATCTTGGAATGGTTCAGTCATCTTTCTGAGCTCTCTGTTCTTATCTATGGGTTCTCCTATTTTGCCTCCCTCTTGAAAGTGTTAGGGATCCAGTAAGATAATGGATTTGAAAGCCCTCTGTAAACTCTAAAGCCTAATGTAGATGTCAGGTCTTGTCCTTGTTGTAGTACCTTTGGACAGGACCTCAGCGGATCACAGGCTGGCTCCTGCCTCCAGCTCCCTCTTGCCTCCTCACCTGCACATACATAAGTTCTTCCCCCTCAGGGTCACAGAGCAGGTTTCCAAGTGCTGCTCCCTATGTTCATTGGATCTCAGCTGAGATTATATAACTAGCTGGCTGTTCTTTCCCAACATAGCTACAGCCAAGACTAGCCTGTTAGCCTACTCTTACTAGGTAACAGGGTCTCCCTGCTGAGGGATGCAATTGTTTAAAAAAAAAAATTGAGGTTTCACCTCAGAGGTGAGCATACACCAGAAATTATGGAAGGTGTGTGGGTTTTGGTTTTTTCCTGGTAGTGGGATGTGGGTATTTAGCCCAAGCAAACCCCGTGCTCTCTCAGCCAGTTAGTCAGTAAACACTCATGTTTACTTTGTGTAAGGTGCCATGATCCAAGCTGTAAGGGATAGACATTAGAGACAACATAACATGATTTAGATTTTTCTTTAGCTTTGACTAAGAGTCAAGAACTGGGTAAGAGTCCTGCTTCTAAAGCTTATTTATTGTGTGTATTTGGGTCTTGCAGCCTCTCTTGTCTTTTCACCTGTAGAATAGGAAAAAGAAGTCCTGCCTTGTGGGGTAGCTCTCAGCATGGGATGAGAGACTAGATGTCTAACAGGGTTTAAAAATTGTCAAGTATGTGTATGATTTTGTTAGTATGAGAATTTATGGAATAATTCTCTGCCTTTGATGTATTTATATCAGATTAGATAGGGAGATATATGAATAAAAGTTTAATTCACAATATCAGGCAGGGTGTTCGGTAAATTTCAAATGCAGGCTACTCAAAAGGAGAGGTCTCTGTGGGCTGAGGCAGTCAGGGAAGGCTGTGGGAGGGACCCTATTGGACAGTTTGGATTTGGACATTACTGGTAGATGAGCCCTAGGCAATATAACCACTACTCTTCTTTGACTGGCATCTAATTATTGTTGACTGTTATAACATTTGAAAGGGAGGTGAGTTGGTGAATAAGGGTTATTCCACCCTTCTGAAACAAAAACAAATCTTTAAACAGTAACTTCTTTTCAGGGCCCAGTATGTTCATTCTTCCCAGGGGATTTATTCCCGGTCCCTGGTTTTGCCCACCACTCACTGGCCAGGCAGGGCTTCCAGGTGACCGCAGCATCTCCATCCTGACTCCTAGATTTACAGCTTCTCCAAGGGTGGTCGCTACTCCCATAGCTTAGCTAAGGGTCTTCCCTTGCCTGCTCTTTGAAAGTTTGTGATTTTATCATCATCATTAGCAGCAGCAGCAATAATTTCTGATAAAACTTCCGTTGATCTTCACAGTAGCCAAAGGCCAGGCATTTTACAGATGAGAAAGCTGAGGTTGTCAAAGGAGAGAGTGTGTGGTGTTAGTATTGGTAGAGTCCTAGACTTGAAGGGAGAAGGACTTGGAATCAAATCCTACCATGAAACAGTTTTCTGTGTCACCCTGAGCCAAGCCGCAACCACTCTGAGGTTCTATCTCCCCATCTGCAAAATGGTGATTGGAACAGGTTGTACCTGCCTCACAGAGTCGTGGTAAATGTGATCTCTTGCTGCCTAAGGCCACACAGCACATAAGTGACAAAGACTTAAGCTCAGGTCTTCTGACTCCCTGACCAGTCCTCTTTCCACTGCATTATGCCCTTCTGTATTTACTGTCCCCAAATTGACAAGAAACCAGATTTGCCTGCTGGGTCTATGATGGTCGGTTGTAAATAAATGGACATTGCCTGCAGTGTTATTTGAAGATAATAGGGAGTTCAGTTTTCTCGATCCATAGATCACTTCGATGGAATCGGAGTCAGGAAGTGTTCACTCTGTCTCTCTGGTTTATGGGTTTTGCCTCATTGTGACAGGTGGTGTCCTTAAAGTATCCACAAGACTGTGGCTTGGCTATCTTGCTTAGGAGTATTTCTGTCATGAAGCTGGGGAAATCATTTCTACCAGGAAACTTTAAGCAAGTATGATTTGTTTTTTCTTTTGGTATGAAATGAATTTTTGTATTTGGCTATTAATTAAAAACAGACCCATCAAGACTCTGGGCGCTTTCCTCATAGCTCTGTGTGCCTGAGTCTCAGGAGTCTTACTTTGTGGCTTTCATCAAGCTCCTTTGAGTAATAATTTCATGGACTTTTTTTGAAATGGGCCAAGGATTATATAAAAACTACAAAAGTTTATTTTAAAAAGTACTAGCAGGCATTCTGCTTTTATAATTATTCTAGGCCAAAATGTGCACTGTCCTTTTTATTAAAGTAGACAGAAAACTTAAGGATGGAAAATTACTGAATTTGAACATATCAACCACCTATCTTTTCAGGCTTTCCAGAAAAGGGAATGGTCCTGGTCTCTTAGCCATTACAGCTATATAAAGGCATTCACTTGTGTTTCTGCTCTGTACCCTTGGTACATTCCATCTGGCAGGGATGGGGGCCTATTGCACAAATGCCCACAAAGAGACTGCTTTATAAATAGTAGAATCAAACTGTCGTTTTTCTTGTGATAGCCAAGTTTTCATTCTCCAAGCCTGGGCCCTGGAGCAAATTGTCTATTTCTGTTGCTTCTCAATATGAACCTTGCTTAGTCTGTCTGAATAATCTCTGAGGCTCCTGCCTGTAGGACTAAGCTGCCCACAGAGCACGGATCAGGTATTGTCTGCAAGGCCAGCTCTGCCAGGCATGGCATGCCAGTGCCCCAAAAACAGCTGGGCAAGAGGCTGCCATTTGTCTTCTAGGGGATTCTGAGTCCTGCAATCAGCCCGTTTCCTCTCTTTGTAACTTACAATCTGGATTGATATTCCCAGTAGTTGCAGGTCTTCTAGAAGTCATCTTCTTAGAAGGCATTCACTCAGTGAGTAGGGCCTAAGTACCAGTCTAGTTCCTCTGAGATAACATTTGTAAAGCATTTAACTCAGTGCCTGGCACATAGTAGGCACTTAATAAATCCCTCCCTCCTTCTCTTCCCACCCTTCTTGATTAAGTAGCAAGGCCTAGGGCCAAATTGATGTACTGTCCTCTCTTCCACCTTGAATGGAGAGTTTCTCTCTTCTCCCTTTGAATCCTTGTTTCTAAGTCACTATCTTTTACTTAGGACCTCTACTGAGGAACCAAGTCTAAGCCTGGGAGTGAGGGGTCCTGATTTCTGTCCAAAGGACCAGGCTATGGGACTGAGTATTGCCCAGGGTCTAATAGCTTCTTTTAGGATTCAGAAAAAGAGTGAGTTGGTTGCAGATGTTAGAATTGATAGTGGCTTGGAACAGTCAACAATGGGTGAAAATGACAATCTTATTTAATAAGGCTTCTGATGCCAAGTTATTCAGTAATGTGCAACCAAGTGCAACAAATCGACTGTTCTAGAGTGCCAACCAGAAACACCTTGGAAACCCCTCCAGGAAAGACAAAAGAAGAAGGCCACCTGGGGCTCCAGATTAGGAAATCTCTGGCCCTTCGTCTCTGAAGCACTAGGATCTGTTTGTTAGTGACAGTTCCCAGGAGATGTTACTATTTCATTCAGTCACATTGGAATCTCTCACATGGGACTCTTGTGCGCTGTAGGATTTTAGTTAGGAGGCGGTGTGCTGGGAGCAGAGGGCAAAGGAGGGGGACGTTCGTGGGGGGGGGTGGGAGAGGAGGAGATGAGCCGAAGTTGGTTTTGCTTTTCCGTGTTCTTTGGGGAGTGCCCTTTGTGTGTATTTAGTATCTGCCATTGTATTTGCAGGAGACCCGCTGCAGTGTGGTGCCTGGGTTGGGCAGTGTGCTCTGTACATCGTGATCATGGTGTTTGAGAAAACCATCATCATCATCGTCCTCCTGATACCTCAGTGGAAAAAGGTTTGCATGTTTCTTCCTGCCTTAGATGGTTCCCTGAGAGCACCACTGGCCAAGGAAAATATGTCTGTGAACAAGATAAGCCATTGAGCACCCCCTCTGCTGCAGTTCTGGCTTCATCACCTCTGCGGTTCAGACTTGTCTTAGTATCTCCTTGTCTGAGCTCCTTAGGTGTGTCCCCGAAGTCAGCCAGACCCAGCAGTGTACTCACCATTCCTAGGCTGGGCACACCCCTCTCAGTGCCTGATAGTATCCAGAGAAGCAATACTTTTAGGGAAGTTCTTCCTTCCAGCTGTTTTTAAAGGCTGTTGGCCTAATGATATGTACTGTTTTCCAAGTAGCTTGACTGGTTTGGTATTCATAGCCTGGTATTCAGTTTGGTATTGAATGCCTAACATTTAGTACACTGTCCCCATCCTGTGACTTGAAGTAGATGGGAGCCTGGTCCTGCCTAGCTGCATGGTTTCTTTCTTGGGATCTATGCCCATACTCTAATTTGGCTGAGCATCTAGTGTTGGCATTATTTCCCCACGAGCCAGTAGGAATGATGGCTTAGTTCTGGGCCTTCATTGAGTCATTGGCATCATTGCAGCAGGTTCTAGACCTAATACATCCTTCAGGCCGGCCTACCTGGGCACTTACTGAAAAGAGGTCAGCTAAGCCTGTGAAAAGGAGAACCACCAACCTTACCACTCACCTGGTTCCCTAAATCTGTGAAATTGTTACAACTACAGAGTCTAGAGAGGGGACCAGCCACATGAAGATGATGGCCTCTGAGGAAGGACCCTGTGACTCCCTCCCATGAGCTCTGTGCTGTGTCCGACACAGCTGCTTCTGCTTTACAAGCCTGAGCTCACCTGCCAAAAGGGTTGCCGATAGCTCATTTGGAATGCTCCTGGTCTGGTTTTCTTGTCTCTTCACAAAGATAACTAGAGACACAAGCCCTGGCTCACTGAGCAGTCACTGAGAGCAAGACTGGGGAGAGAGCTGGTAGGTTCAGGGGCATGTTTAGCCGCCTTCTCCCTTTCACACCTCAGCTTAGAGCTGGGACTTTGTGCTGACTAAATTGGACCCTCTTCTCTTCACAGGTAGCTCTTTTGAATCCTATTGAGAACCCCCAGCTGGAACTGGCCATCGTCATGCTGATAGTCCCTTTCTTCGTCAATGTTAGTATGGACAGCTTTTTTTCCTCATTTTTCTCCCCTCCCTAAAAGATCCAGGGTTGAAAACTTGAGTCCTCTGAATAGTATCCTCGTAGCTCTCCAGTCCTTTTTCTTGTGACTTGCTCACTGTACCACCCCTTACAGTCTAAATGGGCCACTGAGTGCTTGTCATGGGAGGTCTGGAGCGACCTCCCTATCCCTGCTAGCCCCCACCTCCCCACTCCCGCCCCTTGGGTAAACGTGGGGAATGACGCCCATGTCAGTGTCACTGGCCGTGGCCACCACAAGCAGGTTTATACAATGTTGACCCAAAGCCCTCAATTTGTAGCACAGGCTTCTGATGGGACATTCATGAGACTCCTTCCTCCTGAAGGGTCTCTTGTTGCTGGCCTGTGTTTTTGAGATTTCACCTAAACCATCACCAAAATTCTCTATTTGAGAAGGGGATTAAAGCACCAAACGTGGAACAGGAGTTAGAAACCAGCAAAAGAAGTACAGTCATCATCTAGAATGAACAGAATGCCAAATTAAGACATAGGTGCCAGAAATGGGGAGGAGAGGCCAAGGATGTTTGAATGTAGTAGTGGAAACTGGACTGGGAGTCAAAGGTCATGAGTTCTAGTCTTGGTTCTGTTACCTGTGTGACTTGGAACAAGTCACTGCTGCCTCTGTCATTTTGTGTAACTGTGGGCAGATCGCTCAACCTCCCTGGGCCTCAGTTTCCTCATCTGTAAAATGAGGGGGTTGGAGTAGATGACCACTGGCCAGGGTCACTTCCAGCTCTAAATCTCTGATCTTATCATTTCCACGTGAGCTTCAGTTTTCTCATGTGTTTAAATGAAAAGGACTGGATTTTTAAGGTCTCTTTCAGCGTTAGACTTGCATTATTCTAAAGGTCTCTCACAAAAACTTGACAGAGTGAAGGAAAGGGGTCTTTAAATTGTTTGCAGTTGGTAGTGATGAAAATGTCATGTTTCCAAGTGGCCAACACATGCCAAATCATAACCTTGCCCTTCGTCTTCCTGCAGGCATTAATGTTTTGGGTTGTGGATAATTTCCTTATGAAAAAGGGAAAGACAAAAGCCAAGCTAGAAGAAAAAGAAGCCAGCTTGGACTCAAGAAATGGAAGCAAAGTCCGGTACAGGCGGGCTGCATCCCATGAAGAGTCAGAGTCTGAAGTAAGTAGCCTTTTTGATTGTTCATAAAAGTCCAGTGTTGTTGCTTTAGGACTTGCTGTGGCTGGACTGGCACATCCTCTTTTTTTCACACACATTCCCAAGAAGTATAAACCGTAAGAATTATTTGTTGAGTAAGCAGCGTTGCCTGAAACACAAGACCATCCTCAGCCATTCAGCTGCAGGCTTAGCAACTCAGGTGCCTTACTAATTAAGATGGAAAGGAAAGGGACTGATCTCTTCTGAAGAATCCAGCAAGGACTTGTCTGGTGTTTAGGAATAAATGTGCTTATTCCTTCCATTGTCCTTTGCTCTGCCCCCTTCCACCGGCTAGGGAATGGTGTGATTCAATCATCTGGAGACTCTTAGGACCACTCATCCTCCTAGCAGTGAGGAGATTGCTAAGTCCAAGTGAATGGACTTAGGGGAGGCAGGGTTATATGTTGGCCCTGTATAGCCCCGTGACTGGGCTCACACGTTCAGAACAAGTGGAGTTTGGTCAGAATTCCGGCAGACTCCCCACAGGCTCCTCCTTTACCTTGCCCTGCTTTGGTACATTCTCCAAGACAGCTGGGTTTCAGAGCTCTTGACCTAGAGATGGCTTATCTGCAAGCTTTCCCAGGAGCAAGGGAAGAGTTGTAGATCTCACCCTGCTTTGTGGACCTGTCTCACAAGCCCACCCTTCTCTTTCCCCCTGGTCAGGAGGCCCTTGAATCGTCCTTGGGCTGCAGGGATCCTACTTTGTATATGAATAAATGGGATTTGAGTAGAGATGACTGAAACCTATATTTGAGGATGGGGGGCCCACACTTGTGGTTTGCCTAAATATTTATTTCTATTCAGAATATAAACCAGAGAAGCCCTTAGTGGTGTCCTGCCTTAGATATGTATCACTTCTTATTTGAGGAGTGATCTGGACCTGTGGCTTCCTCAGTAAGGAACCCTTGACCAATGCAGAAAGATCTACAGCTGTCCTCTAGTGTCGGGGTACCACGAGTGTCAGCAGTGGGGCTTGAACCTCTGATTCTAGTTTTCTGCACACTGGGCTGCACTGCCTCTCTTGATTTCAATAGCACAAACCCCAAGAAATTCTCCCTATCCCCTGGGTTTTCCCCTCCAGCTGCTTTGGGTCATCTACTCTGCAAGGTATGTTTGTGGTTCTTGGGTTCAGAGGAATGCTTGGAATTCAAGGCTGGGCCTGCCTACCAAAATGATATTGGTTAGTAATTTTCTGGGGCTTGTCTAATTGGATTTTTTTTTTCAGGCTGAGTTAGTGTGGGAGTAAGGGGGTATACACCCAAGATAGCCAAGAAAGGATAGGATTCAGATCATAGTCCAAATCCCTCATTTTAGTACAGATGAAGAAACTGAGACCCAGAGGTTCAAGGTTCAGGGTCTTCCAGGCAAGTAGTAGAGTCAGAGTTGAAATCTAGATCACGTGACTCCAACCTAGTGCTTTTTTTTAGAGGGTCAGAATGTTGTAGCTGATCATGTGTGCCCTTAGGAAATGTGCTCTTGGGTATAGGGCTGGGCCCTCCCTGACCCTCTCTTCCAAGGAGGCTCAATCCTGCACCTCCTTGGGCATCAAGGACACGGGGTGAGTAGGGCCAAAACATGGCCACCCCAGTCTTGTTTGTGTGACTCAGTGACCGTGCCTTTCCATTTCTGTTCCAGATTCTGATGTCTGCTGATGACGAGATGGAAGACTCAGATGCAGATGAAGACCTTCGAAGACTTACCAACCTGAAGCCTGTGAAAAAAAAGAAACACCGATTTGGGCTGCCCGTATGACACACTTCCTGGCCTGGGGCCTGGCGGGTCTGGGGGCCACGGTCACTCATGGATTGGCAGGTTTTCATTCTGCAGTGTCACTTGACCTTTTCCTCCCTCCTCCTCATCTCTGCCCTTCCTTCTACCCTTTCCTGCCTTCCTGCTGTCCTGCCTTACTCTGACACTTGTGACGTGGAACAGGGGAAGGTGAACAAGTGCCCCGAAGAGGCCGTGGTATCGAAGGTTACAATTCAGTTGCACTACAGATACTGACCGAATATGCAACAGAGGTTTGGTTTGGGTTTTCTCCATCCATCCGGCGTATCCAGTGTTGTCAGGGACCAACACCACACCGGTCTTTGTCTGACTTGACAGAGCTGCCGAAGAGGATGAGCATATGTGTGTGTGCTTGCATAGCACAGACACACACACACACACACACACACACACACACACACACATTCACACTCTGCAGCTGTCTCCTTTCAGTTCTATGGGGAATGACGAGATGTGTCACTTTTGGAGGAAAAAGTAATCAAGACTGATCAAGTTGGAGCCAGTGTGGTTTCTTACTAAAAAGTGGCTTTTGCAACAGTTAATTTCTAGAACCCAGGATCGTTTTATGGTTATGAGCCTTAACCGTGTTGATGTTGTTAAGTCCCCGTCTTTGTTTCCTACAAGGTACCTATGGAATTGATAGGCAACACATAGATTTTTTTTAAAGTCTTCTCTATCCTATATGACTTTTATAATTTAAGTTATATTTTCATACTGTTCTATTTAAGGATTCTTTTTTTAACCACCACCAAAAAGAAAAGAAAAGAGATGGTCTTTTTTACCTTTCAAGTAATGTTTAGGTGGGGGAAAGGTCAAAAGGTTTGCTTCAGGATAATTTAATCATTTCATGACTTTGCAGTTAGGCAGAGGGCTAATGAAAGGAGCCAATTCTCAGCTGTAATTACCTGATCCCATACATGCTACATGTCAGTCCCAAGCAGTGGGCTCCCTGTTCTATCTGGCCAAAGTTCCCATGCTTTCTCTGCAGGCTTAGGCCACAGGCACCTTACAGTAAAAATGGCATGACTTCTGGTAGGGTACAGAAGACTAACTCTCTATGGGAATCGACATTCCCAATCCACATTCCCCATTTGTTCCTGAGCTGCTAGAATGTTCTCAAATCTGCCTCCTTTATTCTCCCCAAATAAAAATCGGACTGAAGTTTAAACCCAGATCTCATCTTGCAGCCAGAGATTCAACCTGCGCAGCTAGCCTGGGGATCCCACATTGCTCACCTCCCTTAATGCTTCCCTGGATCCCAAGATTGCTGACCTGTTTTGCACACCCCAGTCATTCTTTTCCTAAGCTTTCCCCAGGTGACCTTCTCTTCCCCCTGCTCTTTGGTTCTTTGGATTCACAGAGGTGATATGAAGTCCCAGGCTTCTTTGGATTTGCAGATAGGAACTTCTAGGTTTGCTTTTGCCATTTTCAGAAGGCAGACTCATGTGCTCAGCTGGGCTTCAGGCACCTGAAACTCATTTCTTAAATAACATACCACTTTGCAGAAACCTTCTCTTCCCCATGTGGAGCCCTGGGCAGGGAGAAGCAACAGAGGCATTTGTCACAGCTGAGACATCAAGGTGACAATGTAGGAAGAAATAGTAGAATGACTGCTCTGCTCTCTGGATAGCAGCTGTTCCAAGCCTTGAGCCAGACAAATTCAGTGAATGACAAACAACTCAAAGCTTTTTAAAAGATATTTTTAAATGTTTTCCATAGACATATTAGGTCTGAATTGTGGTGTGTTAAACAGGCTGCTACATGGAATCCCACAGGGACCTCAGAGAATATTGAACTATCTACTCTCATATTCTGTTGCTGTTCTAACATTCCTGTTTGTTGGCTTGTGGGCAACAAGTAAGCCTTGGTGGAGATTTCCCAGCTGTACTGCTTTGCCTTGTCTGCCAAGCACTCAGCAAGGAACTTGTTCCCAACCCTGACCCAGAGAACTGAGTGGATGGAGCCACTGACCTGTAACTGTGCGTTTACACATCCTCTTTGCAATAAGAAGTGATCCGTTGTTCCTGTGTAATCTGTTCCATCTGAGAGCTTGGTTGCAGAGGGCTGAGAGTAAAGGAGAATCCTGCTCTTGACTTTATTCCTTCCACCATTCCCTTATTCCGCTTCCCCTCTTGCCCCCTTCCTCCGTGGCTATATAGGCAGCTTCTCCTAGAGGAGGAGAGAAAACAGCATTTGGGGAAGGAAGCTCCAGTGTCACCTCTGGGTAGTCGTCTGTGAGATCCAGGAAAGAGACTGTGTGTGTTTACTGGTGCCAGGATTTAGGAATATTGGAACTGATTTTCCTATCTATAGGAAAGTGACACATGGCCTCTCTAATTACTCACCATTTTCCCTAACCCTCTTACCTGGTAGTTGGAACAGCACACAGACCTACTTTGTTCCCTCTGTCTCTTTGGATTCAGAGCACACAGGGTGTTGGATTCTGAGCTTTGTTTTAACCATGAGCTAAGTCTATAGAAACCATCTATTCCCTATTTTTAAAAAGCCTTAATCATGTAAAATGTGTTAAATATGTGTTAACACAGACCTCAGATGATCCAAAGCTCAGTTTGAGCAGTGGTGTTCTAGGGAAAGGGGGAGGGGAAAGGAGGGAAGAGGTGGTGAGAATGTATATTTTTTTCTGAAATGTTTTTAATAAGTGCTTTGAGGTCTTTGGGTTACAGTGCTGTAGCAGATTAACAGGGTGATGTGGTAAGGCCTTGCAAGCCAAAGACCACTTGGGAATGTGGGTTCCTTGCTCTCTGAGGATAGGATATAGTGTTTCCTTAAAAGGCCCCATAGTGATTGGTTTGTCCAGCATGACTCCACCATTTTTTGGCCATACTTCAAACAGGTAGCCTCCAGGCTTCAATGCGGTATCCCAAGAAGCATTGGAGAGCAGTGGCCAGGGTTTCTTTCTATCCAGGATGTCCTTTCTTTAATAGAATGAGTTCTTTGGAAGCATCCTGTGTAAGATACCACATATGGTACAGCTATTAGCTACAGTGGTGCTCATCTTCATTCTCATAGGTAACATGAAGGAAGCATTACCCAGCATGGTAGTTGGGCTTTTTTTTGAGGAGCAAAGTATTGCTGACTAAATTCTTTTTAGTAGCTTATCCATTGTCCGAGTTTGAATGATGGTCAGTCCCTTGCATAAAGGTTGGATTCAGAGGGTATTGGTCCAAGTCCAGGGTAATGCATGTGATCCTGGTAAGTATGATATATTTGTCACCAACAAGGGGGCAAGACTGTAATATTCATTTGGTGAGGTGTGAAAGTAGCATAGATCTGTCTATAAAGCCTTGTATAGAGAGGGCCGTCTGTGGCTGAGCTTCATTGAGGAAGCTTCAAAGGTCAACTGAACCACATGCTCCATCTTACTATTTCTCCACTGGACTGTCATGTGTTAATGTCAACATATCTTGCCTTTTTCTTCAGGGAAAAAAAATAAAAGACTTAGAAGCAAGACTTCTCCCAGATAGTGCAAATTGGTGCCTTTTGCTGGCACTAGCCCCAGGCACGGCCTGCAGCCAGGCCTCAAAAGGCTCCATTTGGGAGCTTCCAGAGAATGTGGCCACCAGCGATGCCCACCACTGTGCTTCACTAACCTGCCATCCATGGGGCTTTCTTTTTTTTTTTTTTTTTTTTGGCAGCAGAATAAACTGAAGGGTGGAGCAACCCAACTGTGCTACAAAGTAGGGGAAATTTCTTTAGGAAAGTTTTCAAACATTCCCAGCAGAAAAAGGGAAAGCATCTGGTTTTACAAAATTTCCAAAGGGATTGTTTTCCTTTGTTGTGGGACCTAGTTCTTAATGGGGGAATAGGTTGGGTTTTGTCTCACTTGGTTTGGGGTTATTGGTATCTGAACCTTGGGTGCTCAAGAGGTTTTATTTGAGCTTTCTTTTGATGAGTAAATTAGGGGTTGGACCTTTGTGTGAGCAAAAAACTATGATAGATACTGCTGCATTCAATGGTATTGTCCAATCAGTGGTGTTACATTTAAAAAAAATTTTTTTTAAGTGTAAGGGAAGATAATGTACTTACATTGTATAATGGTTTACAATAAAGTTTGACACCTTATTACCATTTTAAAAAAAATTTTCTTTGTATGTTCTTGCTAGGGTTAAACAGCAGGTATGGTAGAATGCATAGAATGTCAGAGCCAAAAGGGGATCCCAGAAAACACCTAGTCCAGTCCCTTCTTTATACAGAGAGGAGAAACAGGCTGGAAGAGAGACTCAACAGCTGTGTTTCTGATTGAGTCAAGAGACCAGCTGCAGAGTCAGTAAAGGGAGCCTAAGGGGCTGGTGGGAGATTCCCAGAAAACTCATGGCACTCTGAGAGAAGGGAAAGGATGCCGTTGTCTATTTTTTGCCTTCTCTTTTATGGAGCTGTAGAATTGGCTCTTCCAAGGAATGGATTACATTAACAAGTTAGGAAGCAAAGGAATGCTGAGAGAAGCCATCTCTGAAACCCCATGGAAGTAGTTCTACGTAGATGGAAAAGACAGGAGCTACCCTTTGCCAAGTGGGATGGACCAAGTGTCAGTTTCATGTTACAGTCAGGAATTAATCACCTTCCCAAATGGTTACCCCACAAACTTGGGTCCTTGGGCCCTAGCCTGAGGGGATGGGGAAAAGAAAGCAATGCCACAAAGGCTTTCTCCAAGGCACAGCGGAATGTCCTCTTATCCTCTGGAGAAAACATACTCTCTTTTTTAAAATTAATTTATTTTTAGTTTTCAGTATTTACTTTTATAAGATTTTGAGTTCTGGATTTTCCCCCTTCCCAAGACAGCATGCAGTCTGATATAGGCTATATATGTGTGATCATATTAAACATACTTTCACATTAGTCATGTTGTGAAAGAAGAATCAGAACAAAAGGGAAATATCATAAGAAAAAAAAACAAAAAAAGAGAAAATAGTATTCTTCGATCTGCATTCAGACTCCATAGTTCTTTCCCTGGATGTGAATAGCATTTTCCACCATGAGTCTTTCAGAATTGTCCTGGATCTTGCATTGCTCAGAAGAGCTAAGTCTAACAAAGTCAGTCATCGCACAGTGTTGCTGTTACTGTATACCCTGTTCTAGTTCTGCTCACTTTACTCAGCATCAGTTCATGCAAGTCTTTCCAGTTTTTTCTGAAATCTACCTGCTCACCATTTCTTATGGAACAATAGTATTCCATTACATTCATATACCACAACTTGTTCAGCCATTCCCCAACTGATGGGCATCCCTTCGATTTCCAATTCTTTGCCACCCGAAAAAGAGCTGCTATAAATAGAAAACATTCAGTCTTAAACCCAAGTAAGCCAGGGTCCTAGCCCCACACAGCAACATGTAAGATGGGGGTCAAATGAGGTCCTCGAATGTGGACATAGATTTTCTCCAGGCTGGAATCTCACCTGGCCCTGGGTAGGTTAGGTAGGGGCCTGGGTGAAAAGAAGCTAGATTGGTAGTGTGTCAGGTAAAGCTACATCTAAGAGAACTATCTCCTGGATTTAGTTCCATCTTTCTGGATTGATTCTTCTTGGGTAAATTTCAAAATAGATCCTCAGAGCTGGAAGGGACCTCCATTATCCAGTCGCTCCCGTAACTGACTCTGCTGTGGCAATGAGCACCCGATGTGGTGCCCTCTGCTTTGAAGACATCTACTGACAGGGAGCTCACTACTAATCTTCATCACAAACTAAGGAAGTTTGTGAGCAATCCCAATAGTAAATTGGCTTCCCAGTCAAGTACTCTTTAAATGTTTGGTGCAAAGGAAGGGAAGAGATTAATGCCGGATGGAATATTCAGAGACATCTCCCTGGAGGCAGAGATAGGGTTTGATATGGGCCTTGAAGGAAAGGTAGGATATAGATGCTCAGAGAGGATGGGAGACAAGTCCCTATCCTGAATCAGAGAGGCACTGCTAATCCTAAAGGCCCATGGTTTGTGGCACAGCCAGGTCTAGAACCCGAGGTGGTGGTTGGTCAGTAACTCTGCATGAGGATGATCAGTAGAGATCCAAATAGAAAAAAGCCATCATCCCCTTCTCCCTCTGAGTAGCCTGCCTTCTCCAACAGGTGGCTAGAAAGTGAAAGACTACAGGACCCCTCAGAAGTAGGACCCCAAGATAGAATAACCATCAGTCCCTCCTCTGACTCCCCATCCCCCCAACCCCACAAGGATACAAAGAGTTCATGGAGAAGTGTTTTGAAAATTGTACTTCCTTTTGTTTTCCCCTCAGAGGAAACTAGGTGACAATGGGTGGGGAAAGAAAAACAAACCATGGTATTCAGCTGTTCTCTCAGGGTTTTATCCCTTTTCTCTATACATATTACAAACACAGAAAAACTTTGGTGTAGATAGATAAACAGTTCTCGGGAGCCTGATTAAGCCTCAGCTATAAATAGAACATGTTGCTCCCCAGGGACTGAGGTCCCCCCCAGCTGTTGCTTCTCATCAAGGCGTTGGGGTCCTAGCGGCCAGACCCCAGTCATCTCTAAGAATAAACTCGGGACCTGAGCAGCCTGTGTGGACTTGACTCATGGGGGGAGCCAGGCCGGGGAAGTGACTTCACAGGGATGAGCTGGCTATATAATCCCCCATGAGCCCAGCTCCTGCTTAGATCACTGTAAACAAGGACACTTCCACAGCTCTCAATCCGAGAGGAGAGAGCCAGACTGCTTGCTGCTGGTGCCCACACGTACCCAACTTAGAGCAATGTCCCAGGTAGGCAAAGACCCAGAATTGGCCACAGCCATTAACTGCCTCCAGTTAGGAAACATTTACTTTCTTGAGGCTGTGGGGGAAGGGAGGGAGGAATAAGTGGTGAAAATGTGAGGTCTGCTGGGAGGGAAGGTGTGAACAGCTGGCTAGAAAGTGAAAGAGTGCTGGACCGCTGGGAAAAGTTGGTTGTTTTTGTTTGATGGGGAACTACTATGTGTAGCTGTGTACCTGTGTATTTGAATGTGTTCATTTGTAAATAAGGGGAGAGATTTGGTCCTCCCCCTGAGCCTTACCTGAATCCCCCTTCCCTTTATGTCTGTGTACTTAAATAAGCAGAATTTGTACTTAATATGTTAAGATTGTGGGGAATGTATGGTGGATAATTGTGGGTAGTTGTGGACCGTCTCTGTCTCTCTGTCTCTTTCTGTGTCTCTGTCTCTGTCTCTCTTCTGTAGCTGGGAGATAGCTGAGCATATGGGAAGCATCACAGCATATAGCTGGATCCACTCCTACCTCTCCAAATCAGAAGTAAATGCCTCTATTCCCCACCCTTCCCTAGTCCTAGGTGTCAGTCCCTAAATCTCCAGGTTACCCTAGAACACAAAGATTCCAGCCAGTACTATATAAAAAAATGGTTTTTTTTTAAGCACACAATGGTGTACACTTAGCCAGATACTGTGCTAAGCTCTGGGGAATACAAATAAGAGAAAGAAAGACAGCCACCCCATACCTCAAACCAGCTACAGAGAAGGGAAAGAGCCCAGCCCAGATTCTGATCATGGAAAAAGAATCTGAGCTCAAATGGATTGTAGAGACCATGTAGAGACTAACCTCATTATATAAAGAAAAAACGGACTTAGGGAGAATGAGAGCCAGAAGGGACCTTGGGATACATCTAATCCAGAGATACTAGGATTCAGACACATGACTAAGAGTGACTGTCAAAATGGGGGCCAGAACCTAGAATCTTGTGCCTCAACTTGAACTTAACCACTTGTGCCCTTTCCCAGTCACGGCTTGAGCATTCTGAATTTGAGTAGGATTTTCTAAAACCTTCATTCAATGAGTTTACAAGTCCTGGTCACTCTACCTAGTCCAGGCCCTGCCTCATCTATAAATCAGGATTGGACTGTTACTGTTTAGTCGTTTTTTAGTCATGTCTGACTCTTCCATGACCCCATTTGGAGTTTTCTTGGCAAAGATGCTGGAGTGGTTTGCCATTTCCTTCTCCATTTCATCTTACAGATGAGGGAACTGAGGCAAAAGGGATTGAGTGACTTGCCCAGGGACACACAGATAGTGTCTTAGGCTGCATTTGAACTCAGGTCCTCTTGACTGCAGGACCGGAGCCCCATCTACTGCATACCTAGCATCCCCAGGGTTGACTAGGTGACCTTAAAAGTCCTTTCCAATTCTAAATTTATGTTGCTATGATTACCTCTTGCCTGAACTATTGTTAGACTCTTCCTGGTCTCACTTCCTCCAGTCTTACCTCCACTCTAATCCAACTTTCACACATGTCAAAATGATCTTGCTAAGTGCATATGCCTTGTCATGTTGCTCCTCTGTTCAAAAAGCTTCAAAGGCTCCTTACTGCCTCCAGGACAAAATGCAAATCCTTTGGCTCATGCATGTGACTTTTTCCAGAGTCCATTCCAAACTTATCTCTTCAGCATTATTTCATGTCTCTCCCCTTCACGTGCTCCAAGTTCAGGAAAACCAAATGCCTGACTCCTGGACACTCATCCAGGCCCTGCCTGTCTCCTGCATTTGCAAGACACTTAGGTCCCTATAACCCACCACTTTCTCATCTCCACCTTTTGAAGTCCTTTACTTTCTTCAGGACCCATCATAGGTGCCATCTCCTCTAAGGAGCCTTCCCTAATTCTCCACCCCCCCGTAATGAACTAGTCCCCCTCAAATTTTGCTGGCTCTTTGAATGGATCTTTCCTCTGCCCCTGTCCCACTCTTACCTTGTCTATTGGTCGTATAAATGTCACATTCTTCCATTAAACTGTAAACAGCTCTCCAGTGAAAAGTACCTGATATACCCTTAATCAGTGTTGAATTAGGAAGCCAACCATTACTTAGGTGTCAGGCTAGGCTGACACATATGTACCAGTTATCTCCAAGGAGTAGGGGAGAAAACAGAGAAGGGCCTAGGGTGGGGGCCGTGGAGATAGATGGACCAACTTTGTGGAGAGAGAGGTTCAGCCCAGCATTGAGATTAGAACCTGGGCCAAAGGCAGGAGGTTTAGGGAGTCATTGCCCCTTGGTCCTTTTCCCACACCTAGGACCAGAGCCCTTGAAGACTTAACCTTAGAACCTGGACACTGGAGGTCCAGAGCTGCCCTTGATCCCCTAAACAGCCTGTCCCTTCTAGGGATAAATGCAGGTGAGGAGAGAACTCCAGAGGACAGAAAAAGGTAGTTTTACCACATATCAACATGACTCAGGCTCTCAATGAAGTCACTCACAAAATGTCCCCAAGCTTCTGTGATAAACCAGACAGACAGGAGGGGTGTTTGGAAACAGGAACTTGGAAGCTCTATCAGCCCCATTGGGTTGGACACCTACACCATCCAGCTGGCTCAGAGCCCCCTTCCAGCCACATGCCCAGGCAGGGCTGGCTAGGAAATTCTAGCCTCTTGGAACAAGAAGATTCTTGGCCTCCTTTAATCTGTCAGTCAGTGTGTCTCTGAGTCCTGAGTCCCTGTGTCCAAGTACTTAAGTCAATCAGCAAGCGTTTATTAGAAGCATGTTCCCCAATTGATAAATGGCCAAATGATATAAATGGGCAGTTTTCAGAGGAAGAAATCCAAGTTATCAATAGCCATGTGAAAAAAAATACCCTAAACACTAATTAGAGAAATCTAGTTATTGTTAAATATTTGATTTTATTAACAAATCATTAATGGGAATTAAATAAATAATTAAATGTTTGAAATTAGATCTAATTATTAAACTAAAACAGCTCTGATCCAACAGATTGGCAAAGCTGACAAAACGTGAAAATGACAAATGAAGGAGGGGCTATGGGAAAACATACATTAATGCACCATTCATAGAATTGTCAATGATTCCAACCATTCTGGAAAACAATTTTATGACTGTGCCCCCAAGGATTTCAAACTGTGCATACCCTTTGACGGGGATGACACTGCTAAGCCTATGTTAAGGAGAACAAAGAAACAGGAAAAGGATCTCTCTCCAAAATTACAGAATTACAGTAGCTTTTTTGTGGTGGCAACTTAGGGGGTGCTCATCCATTAGGGAATGGCCAAATAAGTAATGGCATGTAAATGTGATGGAATATTATTGTGCTTTAAAAATGGATGATGAAAGGGGTGGTTTTAGAGAAACCTGAGGAGCCTTTTATGAACTAATGCAAAGTGAAGTGATCAGAACCGAAGGAACGGCTTATAGGTTAACAACAATGTTCTAAAGACAAACAACTTTGAAAGATGCAGGAATTCTGATCAGCAGTAATGACTAATCACACTTCTAGAGGGCTCATGAAGAAAGGTGCCACGTGCTGCTCCAGAGAGAGGGGTGATGGATTCATAGTGCAGATTGAGAAGGGTTTTTTCGGCCCTGGCCAATTTGGAAAGTTGTTTTGTTTGACTGTGCATAGTTATGCCAGAGGTTTGTTTTTCTTTCTTATGGGAGCTGGGGGAAAGCAGAGATGGAAGGGAGAGAACTCAGATCTGAAAATAAAATTGAATTTTAAGAAGCAAAACCAGAAACAAGCACTTATTAGGCGCCTACTATATGGCAGGCACAGTGCTAAGTGCTGGTAATACAACAGTAATAACGAACATTTTAAGGTTGGCAAAGCACTTATCCCAGTTGATATTCACAACTACCTTGTGAGTAGACTGTTATTATCCCCATCTTACAGATAAAACAGGCTGAGAAGATTAAGTGCCTTGTCCAAGGTCACGCAGCTTATAAATGCCTATGGCAAAATTTGAACTCTAAAAGTCAGTCTAGTGCTTTACCCATGGAATCACTCAGCCAGGCAAAAACAGCCTCACCCCTAAAGGCTCACACATTCTAATGAGGGAGACAACTTGTAAATATGTAGGTGGTGGGTGTGGTTCAGTCAGTCTCTCTGTGACCCCATTTGGGGTTTTCTTGGCCAAGATACTGGAGGGGTTTACCATTTCCTTCTCGAGCTCATTTTTTTTTAAACAGATGAATTAAGTGACATGCCCAGGGTCACACAGCTAGTAAGGGTCTGAGGTCACATTTGGACTCGGGTCTTTCTGACTCCTGGCACTCTATCCACTCCACTACCTAGCTGCCCCCAAATAACTAGGTACAAACATAATATATACAGGGTAGAGTGATGTGGAAAAAACAAAAATAACATGGGCCCTGCCCTCAGAGAGCTCTCAGTCTTTGGAGGAGGAAAAGGGGAAACAGACTTTATGCTGTCAGCTAGGGAGCTACAAGTCTGGGGGGAGCAGGGCACTCCCAGTCTTGGGAGAGGCATGAGGAATATGGAGGTCAGTATCTGTGGAAAAGGGCCAACATGTAAATGTAACCCATGACTCATAACTGAATCTCTGCACTCAAATGAACTGGATTCCGTCTTGTAGGCTTCTTAGTCATAACACTCTCTATAGTTCATTTAGTTACCATCTCGGGCTTTCCTTGGGTACCTTAGAAAGTGGCTTATTTTACCTAGAAGTATAAAGGTAGAGAGCATTGGGCCTGGAATCAGAAAGAGAGAGAGACAGAGACTTGAGTTCAAATGTGGCCTCAGACACTTACTGGCTGTGTGACCCTGGGCAAGTCGCTTCCTTTCTGTTTGCCATAGTTTCTTCAACTGTAAAGCAAGGGTAACAATAGTACCTACCTCCCAGAGTTATTGTAAGGATCAAATGAAGTAATGCTTGTAAAATGCTTAGTACAGTGCTTGGCACATAGTAGGTGGTTAATAAATGCTTGTCTCTTGTGTTTTTGTTTTGCTCACATGCAGATATTCAGTCTAACCAAAAAATCAGTTAAATAAAAGACAGCTTTTATTAATCCAAGTATCCGTGGGTAGCCTCTTGCTTCATTTAAAAGTAACACCCAAGGGAGTAACTCTGGTGTATAAGGAGGTCACTGTGTCTGATATAATGTAAGATTCATTTTCTTTCCTCTTCGCATCCTTAGGAGGCCCCCATCAAAAAGAAAAGACCTCCCGTGAAGGAAGAGGACCTGAAGGGAGCCCGGGCTACCCTCTCTAAGAACCAAGAGATCAAATCCAAGACCTACCAGGTCATGCGAGAATGTGGTAAGTTTCCACGTGTGAAGGTGTGTGCACACATCAAGGACCCTGGAAGGGAGGGACTCCATCCGTGCTGGGAGAAAACAGGGAAGAGCCGATAGAAAGCGTGCCCAAGGATGGAGGAAGAGGGAAGAGCGTTCCTTGCCCTTGGAGCCTTTTCCTGCTTGGAGCAACCAGCCAGGCCTGGTTCCCTGAATGCTTGGGAATCTGTTAGGGACCACGTTACTCACCTCTTTCCCACTCTCTTCTTCTTAAAGAGCAAGCTGGCTCAACTGCCCCATCTGTATTCAGCCAAAGTCGGACGGGAGGAGAGACTGTCTTTGAGAAGCCCAAGTCTGGACCCCCCAAGAGTGTCTTTGGCTAAAGGAACTCCGTGCTGCTTCCTGGCCCCGTTCATCTCCACCCCACCTCACATGTGAATGCCAGCTCCAGCCCTGTCATGGACAGAAAAGCAAACACCTTTTTTTTTTCTAGGGAATTTTGTTAATACATAAAATGTCCACTACTTTTTTCCTTGAAGTACAGGGCCCAGTACAGGAAGTACTTTTTTCCTTGAAGTACAGGAGCTGGGCTCTGGATCCAGGGTCTTAGCCTCCTACTTCCCGTGATTGCCCAGAGTGAGCCCTACAAACACAAGGATGTGTGAAAACCTTTGAATCATCAATAAATCAAAGTAATAAGAGCTGTTTGGGGGCACTGTTCTCTCCTGCCCTTGGTCCAGACCCGGATTGTGGTCTAAGTGACAGGGCAGTAGGAGAGAAGGCTTCAAACGTGTGTAGACCTCTTTACGGGGAAATCTGTTGCTACTATTTGGCCCCAGCCCCAGCCCCTTCCATCCTCACCCCCAATCATCTACTTTCTCCTCCATATTGTTGCTGAATCCCCCGCCATACAGAGGCCCCCCCCCTCAGGCCATTGGGGGTAGGGTCTGCACAGAGAAGATGACACAAGCCCTCCCCCCAGCAGCTCCCGGTCTGGCCACAAAGCCAAGACTCACACCTGAGCACAATAAAGGATAAATTGATGTGTGAGACTGTTGGTTTCATAGTGAGGACCTTCGGATCTTAAAAGAGGGAGGGACCCCCCAGTTGAGGAAATTAGCAAAGTCTCACTGGGGAAATGGTATGTAAGTGAGGCCTTGATAGTAAAGATTAGGGTTAGGGGAAGACGGGGAACAGAGAAAGAAAAGGCGTGGGAGTCTGGAATGTGTGGGGAGCAATAATGACATTGGCCTGGCTGCAGTAATGGGTTTTGTGTAGGGGAAGCAATTAGTAGGATCAAATGAGATAATATTTATACTTTCTGAACTTTGAAATGCTACAAAGGGCTAGTTACTATTATTATTAGTTTACTGTCTGACCCTGAGCTAGATTCTTCATCTCTTTCGTTCCCTGGGCCTCATTTTTCTTGTCTGTAAGATGATGAGGTTGAATTAGAGCAGAGGTTCTTTTATTGGGGAGGGGGAAGAGGCAATTGGGGTTAAATGACTTGCCCAGGGTCACATAACTGGTAAGTGTCTGGAGGCTGCATTTGAACTCAGGTCTCCCTGACTCCAGATCCAAGTTTCTATCCACTGCACCACCATCTGCCTCTAAAGCTTTTAAGAAAGCCTGGAGATCATCTAGTTCAACCTCGTTATTTTACAAATGAGGAAACTGAGGCCCTAAAAGAGAAGTTGACATGGGTAGTAAATAGAAAAAACCTGGGACCACAAACCAGGACACAAGCCCAGTGGCTTACCCCTGCTGTCTCTGGCCTTGCAGCCTCCCACCTGAAAAGGCTGTTCTGGGTGTGAGAGGGAAGGGAGTGTTAGGATTAATTCCTTCCACTTCTACCTTCCCTGGCCTTGTGGTCCTGGACCGATCCCCCTGGCCCAGAAGTTCTTGTTCCCCATAAGGCTCTTTCCCCACAGTCCTTTAAGCAAGTCTCACAGAAGTAGCATGGGGTGGGGAGAAGAGGGGTGGGGGCTGGAAATTAGGAGACCAGGGTCTAGATGTGTAGCCCTGGACAAACCCTGGGCCTTTTCTAGGCCTCACTCTCCTGATCCTTAAAATAGGGGTGGGGTGGAGGTGAGACTAGGTCCCTTTCATCTCAGACATCTGGGCTGCCACCTCTCCACCCCTTATACATACATGGAACTGGTGCTTCTGTGTCCTGTCAGTGAGGATCCCTCATGGGGGTGTATTCCCCAAGGCTTTGTGCTGGGCCCTTCTCTCCCTCCTCCCTCTCCTCTTTCTTTGCCTCTGCCTGTGTCTGTGTCTGTGTCTGTGTCTGTGGTCTCTCTCCTCCTCAGCTCTCACAGATTTGAAGATCCCTATCCAGATCAGTCAAAGATCAATATGTGTAGTTCTAGTCTCTCTCCTGATTCCAGCTATGCAGCACCACCTGCCCAGTGAACGTTTCAAACTGAATGTCACAGAAGGATCTCCAACTCAACGTGTCCAAAATTGAGCTCATTGCCTCTCCCCACCCCAACCACCCCCACTTCCAAACTTCCCTAATCTACCATCCTTCCAATTTTTCATGTCCTTGAACTCTACACTATCCTTGGCTCTTCAGTCTTCCTTACCCTCCCTCCGTCCAGCCCATGGCCAATTTTTGTAGTTTTCACCTCAACGACATCTGTCACACCCAGCTCCTTCTCTTCACTCACACATGACATCACCCCCAGACAAGCCCATCATCTGCTCTTGCTTGGACTGTTGCAATGGCCAATTGGTTTCCCCGCTTCGAGCCTATCCCAGCTTCAATCCACCCACCACATAGCTTGCAAAATGGACTTCCTAAAACTCAGGTGAGATCATCTTGTTCCCCAATTCAGTAAACGTCAGTGGCCCTTCACAACCTGTCCCCAACCTGTATTTCCATCCTCATTATGTATTTACTCTCCCCTCTACACTTCATGGTGCAGCCAAACTGGCCTTCTCTCTCTTGCTCATATTCAGTGCTCCATTTCTTGCACCAATTCCCCTTCGTGCTGGGAACTGCCCTTCCTCCTCACACTGGCTCCATAGAACCCCCTTGCAAGATTCAGCTTGAGCACGAGCTTTTCCTGATCCCCTCAGCTGCTGGTGCTTTTCCCTCCCTAAACACCTTGTATAACTAACTACCTTGCATTTATTTTACATAGATTTATTTTTATATACATATAAGCAAAGTGCAGCCCATTTTGTCAACAAGATTGATATGGTTGTGTTCTCTCCCCTGATAGAAATGTGAGAGAACTTTATTGTATTATTTGAATCTAGCCCTATGTGGCTGGGAAATTGGACCACCTCTACCTGTTGCTTAGAGACCCTTAACTAAGGACTTGGGTTAAGTTGACCAGAAATCCAGTCTGATCTGAAGACTGATGCAAGGAGTTTTCTCACAGTTACACATCTCAGGCAACCCATATGTCTTATCTGAAAACTGGCCCCATGCTGGTCAGTCGGTTACTATTTCCTTGTTCCTCTAATTGAATACAGACACTGGAGTGGGGAGGCAGAGAAGAAGTGGAACACCTCTTTTTCTGATTTTGGGGAATTGCAGCTGTTTGCTCTTCCCCTCCCAACTCAGAAAGCCTCTAATCTTTCCTCCAGTGAGAAATCAGATTATCTAATCTTGTATCCTGTTAATTGTTTTCTTTTAATGCATAAAAATCTGTTTCCCCTTGTATGCTGGGTGTAGCACAGAGCTGAGGAGACCTGGTCTTGATTTGTTATGCAACTGGCATGCATCACTTAATAACCTGATATGCTCAGAAGCTCAAACCTTTGTTTCCTAAGTTTTTTTTTTCAGATTTCACCTGTCATACAGGGAGAGACAGAGATGCCCACAGGCAATAATAGAGCTATTCCTGGAAAGAGATTCTAGAGATTTATTCCAACACCCTCATTTCCTAGATGGGGAAACAGAGAACCAAATAGGGGAAAGATCAGTGGCCTCTGATTGCATAGGTACTAAGTAGCAGAGTAGAGATTCTCTGATTCCAAATGTAGTGCTCTTCTCACTGCAATCTCAAGGTTGAAGCCAGTCCATGAGGTCATAGAATACAAGTATATGCTAGGTGCCCCCCAAGGCAGTCTTGCTCCTGTGGCTATACAGATGCTCATAAGAGGTGTCTAGAGGCCTGAAGGCTTATTCTACTACGTTTCAGAGGTCAGCCCTAATGCAAACTATTTTAGGTGTTCCATGAAAGGAGAGCACAGGATTGGGTATTTAATCTAGCCTTTCTCCCACTGGGGACAGTGGATAAGAAGCCAAACCTCTGTAACCGTAGAAAGGACCTGGGATGGTGCTTAGACATTGTCCCTCTGAAGACTCAGGTACTACGAACCCTCAGAAAGCTTGGATATGCTACGTATGGGCAAGACAAATGGGAATGGTTGGATCATGGGCCAGGTTGGTGTGTTGCCCGTATCAACATTAGCCCATTAGCACAGAAGGCAGGGAGTTGACGTATAGTTTTTAGAAAGGGGTATAGATGAACCAGGGAATGAGAAGATTAGGTCTGAACCTGGCCCCTTCTTCCTTATGGCCAGGGCATATTATATATTTTCAGACCAAAGTGGGGGTGAGGGGGTGGGTCACGACAATATGAATACAGGCTATGACCTATGCCCGCAATCACTGATTTGAGGTGTAGGCTCACAGTGAGCCTCTGGTACCATAAAAGAAACTTTAACATCTCCCTGGCTTCCATCATTCCTCCTCCACCCTGTACCATGCTAACCAGGGCTGCGGCCAACATTGGGAAAAGGCAGTCATCTTGGAGGAAGTAGAGCGTTTGGTTCGAATGTTGGCTCTCGCATTTACTACGTGGCCCTGGGCAAGCCAATCAACCTCAGATTCCTCATTATTAAAATGATGACAATACTTTGACTTCTTGGAGGTAGAGGAGTTCCTAGATTTGCAGTCATGCAACATTGTCAGGCCAATGCTTGCATTTTTTTAATGGGTCTTTGAGCCAGGAGTCAGCCTGGGATCATTAAAGGCCCAGCAAACCAGCTTCTCTGCTTTTTCAGTTCTGGGCCCAACTCCTTGTCCATTTGTCATCACTGTTCCAAATATATGTCCTGATGGACTAGCCACTGAAATGAATGTCGTGGTCCAGACAACAGACATTCTTCAGTTATTTAATGTTTCTTGTATGACTTGTTAGACTGTTCTTTTTTTTATGTTGATGGCTGGAAATCTCATTCAGTAACCTGGATCCCCCTGAGGAGGTCCTGTGGTATTCTGGAGCTTTATGCAAAGACCCCGCTATTGTATTTCGACAGGAGTACTGTCCAGAAGACTATATCATCCATAAGGAAATCTCTATTTTGGACCTTGTACAAGACATTCTCTATGACAGGGGCGAACCCTATCTTAAGGAACAAAATTACAAATGACTGGAAAGTCCACGGAGGAACCGCATGATAGGTGTCAGGAGGCCGTAGGGAAAACATATGATTAGAAAAGGAGATGGGCCAGGCAAGTGGTGACAGTGAGGGGTAACAGACAGATAGTCCGAGTCCTGCAGTGATGCTCAGAAAATGTAAAGGGATCGAATGGAAGATTTCTTGCGTGTTGGGTGGATCTTCTGTGGAAGTTCTGAGGAAGAACATGGACCAGAATTGTAGAGGCTGAGAAAACATGGATTGGTTATGCTGTGCACCTGTGGAGGCAATACTCATGCCAGTGAGATGACAGGTCCATTGGAATATTAAAGTAATGATCTTTGTGTAGGTATAGCAAGGATTTTGTGTCTGGCAGTAATAAAAGACAAAAAATTGCAAGCTCTTGCTTGCCCCTCCAGTCTTGCCAATGAAAACTTTTTGGGTGGTGATTTGCGCAGGCTACAATGGGTATCCCCAAATGAGAGAGAGAATAGGATAAATGGGTGGGTGGGGGGAATAGGATGGAGCAATAACAACTGTAAAAAAATTTTTTGAAGCAAGTTTCTCTGATAAAGGCCTCATTTCTCAAACTGAGTCAAATTTATAAAAATGAGAACCATTCTCTAATTGATAAATGATCAAAAGATATGATAAAGTTTCAGATGAAGTAATCTGAAAGTAAAGCTATCTATAGCCAAATGAAAAAATATTCTAACTCGGTATTGATTGGAGAAATACAAATTAAAACAATTCTGAGGTACTGCCTCATACCTATTAGTTGACTAATAGGACAGAAAAGAAAAAATGACAAATGTTGGAGGGGATGTGGGAAAAAATGAGACATCAATGCACTGTTGGTGGAGTTGTGAACTGATTCAGTCATTCTGTAGAGCAATTTGAAACTGTGCCCAAAGGGCTATAAAACCATGCAAACCCTTTGACCTAGCAATACCACTACTAGGTCTACATCTCAAAAGAGATTAAAAAAAAAAAGGAAAAGGACCTATATTTACAAAAATATTTATAGCAGCTCATTTCTGGGCAAAGAATTAGAAATTGAGGGGATGTCCATCAATTGAGGAATGGCTGAACAAGTTATAGTTTTTGATTATGATGGAATACTACAATACTATATAAGAAATGATGAGCAGGATGCTCTCAGAAAAACCTGGGGAGACTTGCATGAGCTGCTGCAAAGTGAAGTGTACTGTGTACAAAGTAACAGCAATATTGTAAGATGATCAGCTGTGAATGACTTAGCTATTCTCAGCAATACAACGATTCAAGACAACTCTGAAGGACTTATAATGAAAATGCTATCCATCCCCTGAGAAAGAACTGTTGGTATCTGAATACAGACTGAAGCATACTTTCAAAAAAACTTTATTTTTCTTGGGGTTTTTTTTTTCTTTGTTTTCTTTCACAACATGACTATTATGGATATATTTTGCATGACTACACATACATAACCTATATTGAACTGCTTGCCTTCTCAATGATGGGAGGGGGGAGGGAGGGAGAGAATTTCAAAGTTTTAAAAATGAATGTTGAAAATTGTTTTTACATGTAACTGGGGGAAAATAAAAATAAAATACTAAAAAAAATGAATATCCCAGGAGAGGAAAGGAATTTTCTCATAGTCAAATAAGGGACTGAACTCATGGAGTGACCATTCAGACAGAATAGACAAAAAAATTTAAAATACATACTTAAAATGTCCAAAGGACACCCGTCTGGGGTCTGCACTGCAAAATACCTGAAGATATCCCTGGGGCTATAATCTAAAGAGCCTGCAGACCTCTCTACATCCTTGCTCTAACAGATGGCAGTAAAGGCAGGAGCAGTTTAGTAGAGATGCCCAAGGACATTGGTGGCTCTGTAGCATGAGAAATGTGACTTGCCTGAACCACACATGTTCTCTGGATGTGTTCCCTACGTGTTTGCCTTTAACAGCTAATGATGATAGCTAACATTTATGTAGTGCTTTAAAGTTTGCAAAATACTTTACAAGTATTATCTCATTTTATCCTCATAATAACGGTGTGAGGTAGGTGCTATAGTGATCTACATTTTACAGATGAAGAGACTGAGGCAGACAGAGGTTAAGTGACTTTCCCAGGGTCAAACAGTTAGAAATTGTCTGAAGCAATATTTGAACTCAGGCCTTCTTAGCTACTGGGCCTGTGCCCAGTACCACCTAGCTTGCTCCTCCACGTGAGTTTCCTGGCCATATGTGTACACCACCATGCATATTCCATGGCCAAATGCGTTTTTGGCATGTAGTCCCTCTTTCATTAGTAGTGGGGTACCTGTGGGAGAATGCAACTTCTAAATGCATGGGGAGGATCTTTCTTGTCACTTATTTTTTCTATACTATTTAGTCGAATGTCTTTTCTATTGAACTAATAACGTGTCCTCTGGTTGGTCTATTAAGGGAAACATGTTAATTGGGGCTCATGAGCTATAATTTTTGAGCAGATGTTGATCAAAGTACCTCCAGCCTTTCTAAGAGCTCATGTATGAAGGATGTCCTTGGTGTTATTCTGACACTACCTACTTCACAGGGTCATTGGAAGAAAGTACATTGTAAATTTTAATTTGGTGCAGAAATGGGAGTTGTTATTTTTATTTTTGCTCTAATGCTCCTCCCTAATAATGCCAGTGGACTTTCCAGATTTTTATTTTTTCAGTTCTGTGGACACCAAGTGCTAGGCTCTCTTTCCCTCCTTGTAAAAGGGGCTCCTCAACTCCATCCTGCTGTTGTGTGGACAGAGCAATCGCTAAAGTGAATTTGTACGGGGTCATCGCACTCTGTGGTTTCATCTCTGATCCTGTATAAAGTGAGAAGCCACACAGATATTCACACACAGACTATGCACACAAACATTACATATACAGATATGCACAAAGAAATTTGTTTTTCCCCAATCCTCACGGGTTAATTAGTTCTGCAGCACCTCCTGTTTCTTGATGCAGTCTTGGTCTTGTCCCCTGCATGTGCTCCCTGTCTTCCCCAAACTACATCACGCATAGCTCTTTTGTTTCTTTGTTTTTTACCGGGCTATGATATTACTGAGAGCAGGGCCTGTACCTGTGATTCACATGTGAGCCGCTAAATGAAGACTGGGGTGCACAACAGCCGAACTCGGATGTGTTGTCTATGAGATAATCCTGAATCTCTTATTCTCATGACTTCTTCAATCCTGGAAACAAGATACGAGCAAAAAAAAAAGATTTAGGACCCTTGCCTTTTAAAAAAGCATAGACTGAACTGCCAGCAATGTGTTTTTCTGGTGATATCCCTTATACCACTATTGCAGTCCGCTCACATCCACCATGTACCATGTGGGTGACTATCAACTTCAATTCTTCAGAGACCATGATATTCCATTAAATTTAACAATGCAATTCAATTCAACAAGCGGTTATTACTACGTCCCAGACACTGGGGGTACAAAATTCAGACAATCCTCCTCTCAAGTTCTTACATTCTATCGGGGAGCAGGCAGAGGAGCAACATGTATATTAAAATTTTTTTTAATTCAATTTTATTTTATTTTTAGGTGTGCTTTCTCTCTTTCCCATTTACCCTCCCCCAAACCATTTAGAAAGCAAGAAGAGGGGCAACTAGGTGGTTAAAGTGGATAGAGCGCCAGCCTTGGAGTCAGGAGGACCCGAGTTCAAATTCTGCCTCAGACCAAACACTTGACACATACTAGCTGTGTGACCCTAGGCAAGTCACTTAACCCCAATTGCCTAAAATAGTAATAATAATAATAAATAAAAGAAAGCAAGAAGAACAAAACCCACTATAAACATTTCAAGTCAATCAAAACAAATTCATGCATTGGCCATCCCCCACCCCCATCCACCATAATGTTTCAGTCTGTATTCTGAGTGGATCAGCTCTCTATCTGGAGGTGACTGCCACATTTCACTATGAGTCCTCTGGAATTGTGGTTGGTCATTGAGCTGATCAGAGCTCCTAAATATTTCAATGGTGTTTGTCTATACAATATTATCGCATTAATTGTTTTTCCAGTTCTGCTTACTTCACTTTGCATCAGTTCATGCAATTCTTCCCAGGTTTCTCCATTATCTTTTCTTACAGCACAATAGTATTCCATCACATTCATATACCATTACTTGTTCAGTCATTCGCCAGTGGATGGGCATCTCCTTAGTTACCACCACAAAAAAGAGGTACTATAAATATTTTAGTAAATATGAGTCTTTTCCCTCTTTCTTTGATCTTCTTGGGATACAGATCTACCAGTAGTATTTCTGCACAAAAGAGTATGCACGACGTAATAGCCTTTTGGGCACGGTACTAAATGGCTTTCCAGAATGAATGGACCACTTTCTAGTTCTACTAATAGTGCATCAATGTACCTGTTTTCCCATGGCCCCATCTGTACTTGTTATTTTCTTTTTGTGTGTGTGTGTGGGGGGGGGGCAATTGGGGTTAAATGACTTGCCCAGAGTCACACAGCTAGTGAGTGTTATGTGCCTGAGGCCGGATTTGAGCTCAGATTCTTAATCCTGACTCCGGGGCTGGTGCTCTATCCACTGTACCACCTAGCTGCCCCTTCTTTTTTTTTTTTTTCCAATTTTGACAAAAACTTTTACTTGATGGGCGTGGGATGGAACCTCAGAGTTGTTTTAATTTGCATTTCTCTAATTATTAGTAATTTAGAGCATTTTCTTTTTCATATGGCTGTTGGTAGCTTGGATTTCTTCCTCTGAAAATTACCTTTACTATCGTCACAAATGAAATTTAATAAGAAAGCAAACCGAGGCACATTTCTCTGAACAAAATAACATATCATTCATAGGGCACGAACCCTAGAACAAGATGGGTAGATGGCTGCCTCCATTGCCAATATGCAAAACCAAAAGGAGCATGGTAGTCTAATGTTTGATAAACTTAAAGATCCCAAGTACTTGGGCAAAGACCCAGATCAAAAGGATTACCTTCCCTTTTATAGGTTTTGGGGAGCATAGAACAAAGAACAGAACAAGGTAGGTAACATTATGGGGTCGAGGGCAACATGATTGAGTACATAGCTGGGGGAGTGGGGGACAATGTGATTGGCTAGAAGTTGGGAATGGGGGCTAGCAACAACCTCTCCTTCCTTCCTGTGACCAAGAAATGGTCATCGTTTCATTGCAAAGTTAAAAGATAGTCGGCCAGACTTCTTTGGATTGCAAACTAGACATCTTTGAAGGATAACTTAGTGGTGTAAAGATACAAGCCCCAACTCCCTAGTGTCCCCCAAAGATAGCAGAATTCCTTAAGGTGGGAATAGAATAGTGATCAGCAAGAAAACTGGGTTTCTAAACTTGACCCATTACAGGCCAGCTGAATTCTGGACTAAGTTTAGAGACAGAGAACTATTATTTAAGCAGTCATAGGACAAAATCAATGAATTACAAAGCGGATCAGTAAAAAAAAAAATGACAGAATCAATTTAATCTTGTCAATAACCTTTGACCACTTGTCATCTGGGGAATGGCTCTTATAAAGTTGAATCCATTCTCTATCTTAGAAATGAGATTTTTATTAGAAAAACATTTTGCAAAGTTTTTTTTTCCCACTTGCCTGCTTCTCTTCTAATTTTAGCAGAATTAGTTTCATTCATGCAATAACTTTTTAATTTTATGTGATCAAAATCGTTCGTTTTACCTCTTCCTATGAATCTTTCTTTCTCTTGTTTAGCTACGAACTCTTCTCTCCATCGATCTGTCTGTGATCCATGCTTCTCTAATGTTATGCTATGCCTAAATCCTATACCCATCTGAAGTAGGTCTATATTTGGTTTCTGCCACAATGTTTTCCGGTTTTCCCAACAGTTTTTGTTGAATATAGAGTTCTTGTCTAAATACTTGGGATCTTTAAGTTTACCAAACATTAGACTACTGTGCTCCTTTGGTTTTGCATATTGTGAATCTATTTTTTTTTTCTACTGATCAACCTCACCTTTTCTTATCTTGTACCAAATTGTTTTGACGATTACTGCTTAGTATAGTTTGAAATCTGGTACTTCTAGGCCTCTTTCCTTGACACTTGTTTTTCATTAATTCTGTTTATATTCTTGACTTTTTGTTTTTCCAGATAAATTTTGTAATTAAAATTCTATAAAGTGATCTTTGGTGGTAGTTTGATTGATATGGCTTTGAATAAGTAAATTAATTTAGGCCATATTGCTGCTTTATTGTATTGTATTGGCCTAATCATGAGCAAGTAGTATTTCTCCAATTATTTTGATATCAGTTTGTGTAGAGTGTTTTATAATTGTGTTCATATGGTTCCTGTGTGTGTTTTGGCAAGTAGACTCCTATTTTATACTGTTTGTAGTTATTTTAAATGGAATTTATCTTTCTCTTCTTACTGGATTTTGTTGGTCTGACATACAGAAATGATGATGATTTATGTGGGTTTATTTTATGCCTTGCAACTTTGCTGAAGTTGTTAATTGTTTCACTTAGTTTTTTTAGTTCAGTCAGTCTCTTTAAGTAAACCATCATATCTACAAAAAAGGGTAATTTTGTTTCTTCTTTGCCTTTGCTTATTTCCTTGATTTCTTTTTCCTGTTTTATTCATATAGCTAGAGCATTTCTAGCACTGTGTTGAATAGTAATGGTGATAAAAGACATCTTTACCCTTAATCTTGTTAGAAAGGTCTATAATTTATTTCCATTATAAATAAAACTGGCTCTTAGTTGTAGATAGATACTACTTATCATATTAAAGAAAGCTCTGTTTATTTCTGTGCTTTCTAGTATTTTTTTAAAAAACAGGAATGGGTATTGTATCTTGTCAAAAGCCTTTTTCTGTATCTATTGATATAATAATATGATTTTTGTTTTTCTTATTATTAATATGGTCAAGTATGTTCATCATTTCCCTAATATTGAACCAACTCTGTATTCCTGTCATGGAGTATAATCTCTGTGATGTGTCATTCTAGTCTTCTTGCTAATATTTTATTAAATTTTTTTACATCAATATTCATTAGGGATATTGGTTTATAATCTTTCTCTGTTTTCAGACTCTCCATGGTTTGAGTGTGAAGACAATATTTGTGCTGTATAAGGAATTTGTTATGATCCTTTCTTTTTCAAATAGTTTATTTAGAATCAATTGTCCTTTAAATGTTAGATTTGCTTGAAAATCCATCTATTTCTGGAGATTTTCTTTGGAAATGAATAGGCTTCTTCAATTTCTTTTTCTAAGAAAGGGTTGCTTAAACCTTCTGTTTCTTGTTCTGTTAATCTGGGCATTTTTGTATTTTTATAAATATTCATCTATTAAATTTAGGTTGCCATTTTTACTGGCATATAATTGGATGAAATTATTCCAAATAATTTCTTTTTTTCTTCTTATTGGCTGTGAATTTACTTTTTAGTTTTTGATACAGGTAATTTTGTTTTTGTCCTCTTTAAAAAATCAAGTTAGCTAATGATGTTTCTATTTTATTGTTTTTCTTTTCAAAAACCAGTTCCTAGTTTTATTTATTAATTCAATGAGGTTTTTTTCATTCAATTTTGTTACTCTTTGGTGTTATCTTCTTTGAAGTTCATGATTTCTATCTTTGTATTTAATTAGAGGTTTATAATTTATTGGTTTTCCATTGATTTTAGTTATGTGTCCAATTCAATTGATCTGCTTTTTTTTTTAACTGATGAAAGTGTTTAGAGATATGAATTTTCCCCTAAGTACTACTTTAGCTACATTCCAAACATTTTGGTATTTTGTCTCATTTTTGTCATCTTTAATGAAATTATTATTTCAACAATTTGTCTTTAACTCATCTATTTTTTAAAATTTCTAACATTTTTCTTTAAATTTTTGAGTTGCAAATTCTATCCCTCCCTTCTCTCCCCCTCCCTTGGACAGTAAGCAATTGATATAGGTTATACATGTACATGTAAAACATTTCCATATTAGTCATTCCATACAAGAAGACTAGAATAAAAAAAATGAAAAAAAAAGAAAGTGAAAAATAGCATGCTTCAGTCTATATTCAGTCACTATCAGTTCTTTCTCTGGAGGTGGATAGCATGCTTCATCATTAGCCCTTTGGGATTGTCTTGGATCATTGAAATTCACTTATTTTTTAGGATTAAGATATTTAGTCTCCAATTAATTTTAATTTTTGCTTCAAAGGCCCCTTATTGAATGTTATTTTATTGCATTGTGGTCCATAAAAGATGCATTTAATATTTCTGCTTTTCTCAATTTGTCATTCATTTTATGCCTTAATACATAGTGAATTTTGTGAAGATGCCATACACAGCTTAGAAAGTTGTATAATCTTTTCTAGTCTCATTGGTATTCTCTAGAGATCAACTACGTGGTGCAGTGGATAGAGTATTGGACCTGGAGTAAGGAAGACTCATCTTCCTGAGTTCAAATCTGACCTCATACACTTAACCAGGTGTGTGACCCTGGGCAAGTCATTTAACCTGGCTTGTCTCAGTTTCTTATCTGTGAAATGAGCTGGAGGAGGAAACGGCAAACCACTCTAGTATCTCTGCCAAGAAAATTCCAAATGGGGGCAAGAAGAGTCAGACAAGATTGAAAATGACTGGATAATAATAAGTGATCTCTCATATCTAACTTCTCTAAAATTCTGTTTAGGTCCTTCATTTCTTGTCTGGTTAGTCTTTGGTTAGATTTATCTAGGTCTGAGAAGAGATCTCCTATTTGTTGTTTTATTATTTATTTCTCCTTGCAACTCCTTGTAATTTTTCCTTCAGAAATTTAGATGCTATTCCATTTGGTGTATTTTTGTTTAGTATTGGTATTAATCCATTGTCCACGGTATCTTCTAAGCTTCCTAAATGTAGTTTCTCTGCTAGTAGATTTTAATTAGGTCTATTTTTGTTGTTGTTTTGTCTATTTTTTTTAAACTTCAGCTGAAGCATAATAGATTCTGCTCCAGCTCCTTATTTTAACTTTGTGTGCATTTTTCTGTTTAAAGAGTGTTTCTTATAAACAATATATGGTTAGATTCTGTTTTCTAATTCTTTCTGCTATCCTTTTCTTGTTTTAGGAGTGAGCTCATCCCATTTATATTCACAGTGATGATGATTAATTAATTAATCATTATATAAATAATACATAATATAAACTAATTAATAAATAATATGTGAATATAAATAAAAATTAATTAATAATATATACCTTTGTCCTATTCTCATTTCTTTCTTTCTCTTTGTTTCTTGCTTCATCTTTAGTTTGTTTTGCTTTTAACTAATCCTTCTCTTAATCTACCCTCCTTTACCCCTTCCCCACTCTATTGTTTCCCTTCACCCCTTTCCCTCCTATTTCCTTATTGGGCAAAATGTGTTTCTGTACCTACCTATGTATGTGTATATATATAATAGGGGTGTGTGTGTGTGTGTGTGTGTGCGTGTGTGTGTGTGCACATATATATATGTATGTATATATATATATATATATATACATATATATGTATGTATATATATATAAATATAAATATATACATACATATATATGTATGTATATATATATATATATATATATATAAATATAAATATATATAGTCTTCTATCCTTTGACCAGTTCAGATAAAAGTGAGGTTCAAGTGTCAACTGCACCCCCCCACCTCCTCTTTGTTGTATAGATTTCTACTTGTGTGTCCTGTTTATGCGAGATGATTTCCCCCATCCTTTCTATTAACATGTGTATATGTAAATACATATATAATGTATGCAAAACAAAATGAGGGGGGAGGACTCAAATCTAAGATAGTTTGTTAATAATAAATGAGGTTCAAAAGGGCATGAAAGGGAAGAGCAGAATAGAGTCAACATGGATGAGTATGAGGGAACGAGGTGTGATGGTCAGGGAAGGGAGTTTTCGCCTAGGTAGTCTACAATTCAGAATTACAGAGATCTTGAGTGGAACCTTAGGGAAGCAGAGTGTGAGTTTTCAGAGAAGCATTGATGATACTAATTCCACTTCAGTTGCTGAACAGGAAATGGGAAGTAAAGATACACATGCTTCTAGAGTCAGGGTCAGCAGGGCTCTGGAACCAGGGATTATAGAGGAGTGAGGCATACCTGAGGTACTCCCCTTTAATCACTAGCTAGCTCATCTCTTTCCCAAGCTCACTCCAAATGGGTAATGGGGCCCTCAACACTACTCCCCAAATTCCTCTGCCCCACCCCAGCATGCATAGTCACCATTTTAGCTTACTTTAGGGAACTTTGGGGACCAGCTTCCAACCGTGTATGCATTAGTTACTGAAAATCCCCTGATTGGCTACTAAGTCAGAGTCACTGAGGACTCAGGTGATCCTTTGAAAAAGGAAGCAGTTCCCAGTTCCCAGTTTCCTTTTTTCCTTTTTGGCTACAGCTTTTAAAATGACAAGTTGGACCTCTAGCCAGGGGTAGAAGAAGGTTACCAACAGATCTATAGTTCTTCCCTGGGGGTGAAGGTTACCATGGTAATCCTTTTCACATGGCAATTATGACCGAGGGGCTTACCTAGCAGAACCTGTATTGGTACCCTTGGCCACTGTAGGTTCCTTTGTGTTTTTTTGGTAGTTGTCCTTGTGAACCTGAAAGGCCTATTTCCCAAAAAAGGTTATCTCTGTCATTATCTTTCATGGAACTTTCCATGAATTTGACCCACGCATGGTAGACACCTTCTTGAAAGAGAGTCATTAAGGTGGTATTCTGTCCAACTGAATCACATGCTTTTGAATCAACAAGAAATAAGCATGAGTGTATTTTGTTTTCTCTATATCTTTCAGACTATGAAATTGTGGTCTACTATAGCTGATCATTTGTGAAGGCCTGCCCATTCCTTTTTCACATATTTATTTGCCAATGTCTTTCTGTTCCTTTCATCAAAGATGTTCCCAATGAATGTAGGTCATTCTCATAAAGAGATGGGAAAGTAGTCGTTGATAGTTTCTTAGTCACATTTGTTTATTGTTTTTATTTTAAAATATTTTCATTTAAGTATTTTGGGTTTTTAAAAAAATATTATCACAGTTTCCCTGGTATCCATCTGCCTTCCTCTCCCAGAGAGTTTTCCCATATAACAAATAATATTTTAAAGATAAAAATAAAATTAAAAAGAAGAGGAAAAAAATCAACATATATGATCAATACATTGAAAGAGTCTGAAAATATGTGTAATGTATAACACTTATGGCTCTGTTGCTTTAAATCACAGAATGCAAAATGGATAATTTTGATTAAAAAGATTTTCCACAAACAAAATCAGTACAGGTAAGATTAAAAGGAAAGCAGAAAACTGGTAAAGGTCTCATTTCTCAAATATATAGGAAACTGAGCCAAATTTATAAAACTAAGGGCTATTCCCTAGTTAATAAATGGTCAAAGGATATGAACAGGCAGTTTTCAGAAAGGAGAAATCAAAGCTATCAACAGTCACATGAAAAAATGCTCTAAATCACTACTGATTAGAGAGAGAAATACAAATTAAAACAACTCTGAGATACTACCTTACCCCTCACACCTATCAGATTGGCTAATGTGACAGAAAAGGAAAATGACAAGTGCTGGAGATGTGGAAAAATTGGGATACTAATGCACTATTGGTGGAATTGCAAACTGGTCTAACCATTCTGGAGAATAATTTGGAACTACACCCAAAAGACTGTAAAACTGTGCATACCCTTTCACTCAGCAATACCACTACTAGGTCTGTATCCCAAAGAGATTTTTAAAAAATGCTTATAAATGCTTGCTACTATTATTACTACTATTACTACTATTTTAGTTATTAGCTTTCTATGGATGTATTGCCACATATCCAACCAAAATTTGCTTTTTGTAGCTTCCACCATCACTCCTTCTGGGACCAAGAGGCATAAATCTAATCCCTCAATCACAGTATAGCTCTTTCAATACTTGAAGATAGCTATTGTGTGTGTCCTCTCCCTGTTCCTCCTCTCTATGTCTTCCTTTCTCTAAACATCTACACTTCCTTCAGTGATCTTCATGGACCCTACCAACTTGGTCACACTCCTCTGGACATTCTCCAGCTAAGTAAGCATCATTCTTCTTAAAATTCAGCACCCTGAAATGAACACAATATTACAGATGTGGTCTGAACAGGGCAGAATACAACCTCCTTATCCCAGGGAGACACACCGTGCCTTGAGAGAGCAGTCATAGGTGACATTAGCTTATCGGACTTCTCTGTTCCTGCAGTTCACTAAAATGCCATTCTCTATCAATCTAGGTATGTTACTGCCATCTTTTATGTGTGATGCTGAGTTGTAGTTTTAGGAACACAGACTGACAGAATGTGATGATTCTTGGATTGGGAGGAATAGCTCAGATGGACACAATATTAGGTGAGAAAAAAAAATCACTCTCTGGGTAAGAAGGGACTTTAGAGACCATTTAGTGTAATTCCATATTGTATGGAGGAGAAAACACGGTTGAAATACCTTTCCTAAAGTTACCCAGTAAAACAACGTCAGAGCTGGAAATAGAACTCCGGTCTCTTCATTCCCAGCCCAGTCCTCTTTCTATGGTACTGTCCCAATCCTATCAAATGGCTCATCTGAAAGAGGACATAAGCAGGAGGTAGGGAGAAGGCTGGACTGGTATGAAGTGAAGCCCTCCAGTAATTTCTTTCTGCCGTCCAATCCCTCCCCAACAGATACCTGAGATTCCATGGTTAGTGACTAACTCCTTTGGGCTCAGCCATTGACTTTTCCAGGTCTCTCAGGAGCCAAGCAGAGTAGATCTAGTCCCTCTTCCATAGTCCTTGAAGGCAGCCAGCATATCCCCTGAGGCTTCTCATATAACAGAGCTGAAAACATTGGTACAAATTGTTCCTTTTTTCCCCTTCAACTTCTGTCCTTGGGCGATAGCCAGTGGAATTCCTGACAGTGAGATCACTAGGTCAAAGGGCAAAGCCAATTTTATGATCGTGAATCCTCTTGCCAGATGGCTTTCCAAAAATTTCTCCAGGTCACATGGCTACCAGCAATGTGTGTTTCTCCATAGTCCTGTTCTTCTGTTAATCATTTCACACACAAACATGTGTATACCCATATATGTATATATACATGCATGTGTATACATATATTTCCTCTATATATTATATTATATTCCCATGTATTTCCTACATATATACATATATGTATATGCATATATATATATTTCCTATATATAGCTTTTTTGTACATATTTGTTTGCTTGTTGTCTCCCCTATTAGACTGTGAGCTTCTTGAGGGCAGGAATTGTCTTTTGCCTCTTTTTGTGTCCCCAGCACTTAACACAGTGCACTTAAGAAATGCTTTATTGGGCTCAGATTCTTATAATCTAACCAACAGCTCACTAACATTCAAAGTCCTTAAGAGTCTGCCCCAATATAATGGATGTTCTAATAAACCTTGTCTTTGGCTGAAAAAAAAAAGAATGAAATATGCAAAACTAAAACAATTTATATAATAACAACAATGAAATGATTTTGAAAGTTGTTAGAATTATGACTAGTGCCATAGCCATTTGTGAATCTAGAGGACTTATGATGGAACGTGATCTCTCCAATTTGTGGTATATGATTGTAATGGAATATTATTGTGCTATAAGAAATGACAAGCAGGATGATTTCAGAAAAACCTGGAAAGACGAGGACATAGTGAATATAGTGAATGTAGAGAATAGAACCAGGAGAATGTTGTACACAGTAACAGCAATATTGTTCAATGAAGAACTGTGAATAATTTAGCTATTCTCAGCAAAACAATGATCCAAGACAATCCCAAAGGACTAATGATGAAGCACACAATCTGCCCCCAGAAAATAACTGATATTAATTGAATAAATGCTATTTTTCACTTAAAAAAAAAGAAATGCTTTATTGTTTGACTGTCAATATATGTGACCTTCTATTACTTTTTTCTTTTTAGCCAAATTGATGGGCATAGTAGAGTGGCTGAAATCTCAAAACAGTCTGTGACAATTTAAAAGATTTTTCTGGAAAAACCAGAGTTAGAATGGATGGTATATTGGATTTGTCTTTTGGAACCTACTGAATTTTACTGCAAGAAGAGTTGCAACAGCTGCAGGAAGGAAAGCTATCTGGAGGTTTTAGGGCCCTCCAAACTTTGCCAACATTATGCTATGGCAGCCAATAAAGTTCATCTAATTCCAGACTGATCTAAGAGAAGTAAAATGTCCTGGACTAGGGAGGTGAGAGCTATCCTGTACTCTGTCCTGGCCAGATCACATCTGAAGTATTGTAATGAGTCCTGGGCACCACATTTTAGGAAAAATACTGAAAAGTTGGAAAGCATCCACTGTCTTTTAGTAGAGTCAGGTGTCCAAGACTATGAAGAGCCTCTAGTTCATGCTATGTGATGTCCAACTGAATGAATTTGGGATGTTTAGCTTGAAGTCAAGAAGAGTTGGAGAGGGGAGAGGAGAGAAGCAGAGTTGGAGAGGATGATTATTTGAAAGGCTGTCACATGGAATACCAGATCTAGGTTATTTATTTTTCCTCCTTTCTCAGGAGTTCAGTACTTGTGTTAGAGTCTTTCCTTCTGTGTCTCCACTCAGGCTGTCCCTTTTGCCTGGAAGGCATTCCCTTGTCACCTCCACCTTTCAGAATCTAAAACTTCCTTCAAGGATTGGCTGAGATGTGTTGATATATATTTAACAATTGAGCTCTCTGGAGAGAAAATGTATGCACACAATCACACATCTAAGTGTATTTTTGCTCTGCCTGTGTTTATTCCTCTGATTCTTTTTTCTTGTCTTACTGCTATAGTTAGCATTTCTAGCACTATATAAAATAATAATGGCTATAACAACATCCCTGCTTTGTACCTGATCTTAATGGAAAGGACTCTAGTATTTTTCTATAATGTTGACTCTTGGCTTTTTGCTGTTGTTCAGTATTTTTCAGTTGTGTCCTACTCTTCATGACCCCATTTGGGATTTTCTTGGCAAAGACACTGGAGTGGTTTGCCATTTCCTTCTCCAGCTCATTTCATAGATGAAGAAACTGAGGCAAATAGGATTAAGTGACTTGCCCAGGGTTACACAGCTAGTAAGTGTCTGAGTCCAAAATTGAAATCAGGAAGATGACTGTTCCTGACCTTAGGCACTCTGTCTGCTGTGCCACCTTATTGTCCTCTTGCCTTTAGACAGATACTATTTGAAAGTTCCATTTTTCCTATTCTTCATCATGTTTTGAACAGAAATAGTTCAGTTTTTCTAAAAGCTTTTTCTTCATTTATTGACGTAATTGTATGTATGGTTTTTAAATCATTTTTGTCATTAACATAGCTATTATGTTTCTAGTTTTCCTAACACTGAACCAACCCTCCATTCCTGGTATAAATCCAATCTGGTCATAGTGTATAATCTTTTAATATTGTTGTAACTTCTTTGTTAGTATTTTTATTTAACAGTTTTGCTGTGGTAGTCATAAGGGTATTGAATTATAGTTTTCATTTTATGCTTTGTCTTTTCCTGGTATACATATCAAGACCATATTTGTATCATAGATGGATTTTGGTGGGATCTCTTCCATTTTTTGCAAATATTTTATAAAATACTGGATTTAATTATTTTAATGCATATTAGGATTAACTTGTAAATCTATCCAGCCCAGTTTTTTTTTTATTACTTTTGCAATTTCTTTATACATTTTTCAATTTCTTTTTTTCTGATATTTGGGTTATTTAAATATCCTATTTGTTATTTGTTGTTCTGTTCAACTAGTATTTTATTTGATAAACATTGATCCCTTTCATCTGTTTTCAGTTTTGTTGGCATATAATTGTATAAATTAGCAACTTACAGTTTCTTTTATTTCATCTTCAATTATTGCAAATCTCCTTTTTCATTTTTGATACTATTTGGCTTCTCTCTCTTTTTAAAAAAAATTCTATCTCTCTAGTTTTTTTTTTAAATCAACTCTCAGTTTTACCTATCACTTTGCTGCTTTTATGTTTTCCATGTTATTAATCTCTTTAGCTTTTTAGAGTTTCTAATCCGGTGTTCAGTTGTTGTTTTTTTTATTTGTTGGTTTTCTGATTTTTGTTAGTTGCATAATCAATTTATTGAATTGATCTTTTTCTCCTTCATTGATAAAAGCATTTAGAGATACACAATTTCCCTTAAGGACTGCTTTGTTTACATCTTTAGAGTCTCATTGTCATTTTCTTTGATGCAATTTTCTGTTTCTATATTTTCTGTATTATTTTAATAAATATTTATATATTATTAATGTTTATGTATATGTTTCTGTTTCTATATTCTTTGACCCACTAGTTCTTTTAGATTAAGTTACTTAGTCTTGAGTCAAATTTTAAGCCTTTCTTCAGTGTGCTGTAATCAGCTCCCTGACTTGCAAGAGCCTTAAGAAAATTGTTATATTGTTAAATTTTCAGTGCTAGCCTTTACACTTCAGAAACCAGCAAATACTACACATCCACATTTGATTTATTGTTTTGTTGATTGTTTAGACTTAAGGAAGTGATAACAATGCAGAGTAAACTTTAAAGAGTGTGTGCACACATTTTTTTTCCCTCTAGAGAGCCTAGTTGTTAAACATTTACCATCACACTCCTGTATTACTCTATAAACATTGTTTGAACTCATTGAGAGTTCAGTAGAAGGCTTGAGGGAATGAAGTCATTACCAGATTGGAGACCTGGTGACTGTAGGTAATAATAATAATAATCAACAACAATAACTATCATTTATTTAACTCTTAAGATTGGCAAAGTGATTTGCATATATTATATTTGAGACTTACAACATCCTTTTGCCTTTATTGAATATAACTTTTTTTTTTGCATTGTGGTCAGTAAAGGATAGCTTTACTATGTATCCTTTTCTGCATTGGTTTGTGATGCTTTTATGCTTTAATATGTGGTCAATTTTGTAAAGGTGTCATGTATATACTTTTCTCTGTTCTTATTCAGTAATTTCCAGAGACTTATATTTAACTTTTAAAAAATTCTCTCCAGGTATTTAACTTTTTATTGTTTATCTCTTTGTTAGATTCATCTAGGTCTAAAAGGTGCACATTGAGGTCCCTATTATTAAAGTGTTACTGTCTATTTCACCGAGAAATTTGATGAACTTTTCCTTCAAGTATTTTTACACTGTTCCATTATACGTATACATACATATATACACACATAGAAGTATTTACATTGATTCATTACCAATGTTTCCTTTCAGCACAATTTAGTTATCTTATTTATCCCTTTTAGTTATATGTATTTTATACTTTTTTTAGTTCACCTTAAGTATAATGTATTTCTATCTTTTAAGTTTGTGTCAATATTTCTGTTTCAAGTGTGTTTTATATAAACAACATATTGGATTGTTTTCTAATCTATTCTGCTGTCATCTTCTATTTCTTGGGTGAATTCCTCCCATTAATGTTCATATTTATAATTTTTATTGTATATTTCTCTCTATTTTATTCTCTTATCTTTTTTCTATATTTGCTGACAAACTATTTTTTTTTTACAAAGAAAAAGGTGGTGAAAGAGAAGTGTGCTTAATCCTGTATGTAGCTTGCTTTGTTTATGTTTGTTTGCATGTTTTCTCTCCCATTAGATTGCAAGCCCCTAGAGGGCAGGGACTATCTTTTGCCTCTTTTTGTATCCTCAGAACTTAGCACTTGGCACATAGTGGGTGCTTAATAAATGTTTATTGATTGATTGATTACCTACTTTGTGGAATCCTGACTGTGATTCCTTAGTACTTGAACTTTTTCTTTCTGGATGCTTTTAGTATCCCTTCTTTTTATCTGGCTGCTCTGGGCTTGGGTTCTACCATTGCTGGGAGAT